TAACACAGTAACTATGCTAAGACATTAAACGTGTCTGATCAGGGGCCAGGGAGATGGCTCAGTGGAATAAATGCTTCCCTGGCAAGTGCAACGGCCTGAGTTCAATCCCTGGTTCCACCAAAAAAATAAAATAAAAAATGTGTCTGATCAAGTTCACAAAATCTGCCAGATAAAAGTATGTGATTATGGATACTCTGTCTTTACAAAAAAATAAGAAGTGCTAGTTTAAATTCCCTAAAATAAATGCTGATACCTTGTATTCTGAGTAATGATTTTAAAGATAACAATACACAAAGCATTAACCATTATTACCCTTCTGTGATCTTGTTTTGAATTTTTTTTAATTTTTTTCTCTTTAAAAAAAAAACATTTTTTTCTTTCCACTGAGGTTTTGAAAAATTGAAATAAAATATATATTATGCAATACAGTAGTGCCTTATTTATCACAGAGGTTACATTCCAGACACTCCCAAGATAAGTGAAAATCTGGGGCCAGGGAGATGGCTCAGTAGAATAAGTGCTTCCCTGGCAAATGCAAGGGTCTGAGTTCAATCCCCAATTCCGAAAAAAAAAAAAAAGCCACTGAGATAAGTGAAAATTAGCAAAGTAGCAACATATATATATAGGCTTTATAAACCCTTCCCACTCTTATAAACTTTTCCCATACTTTCAAAAACACTTCTAATGTTCTTAACCATTTTCTAAACTCATAAACCTACATAATTTTAACAACATATGTATATTGTACAGTACAGTATGTATTCATCTACTAAAGAAATACATACTTAAAATACATTTTATTTCAACTTAATATTCTTTTAATGTTAGAATTAATAGTTTTAATACATTTTTTTACATTTTAAAACTTGCTTAGGCAAAATTATTAAAACCATAAGTACTACGCATATAAATAATGTATACAGTACTGGACACTACTGCAAATCCCATGACATAGCGAAAAATCCACAAGAATTTAGATTAACATTTTTTGAAAACCCGCAAAACAGTGAGTCCACGAGAATCAAACCGTAAAATGGCAAGGGACTATTGTATTTAATTTTATAAGGATGCAATTCACCATTAAATGCACACGCTCTTAGGTAACCATTATCACGATGTAAACCCTTTCACCATCCCCATCAAGAACTCTGTATTCATTAACTAATATCTCTCCCCTCCCCAAACTCTGTTATTCTCTATTTTACTTTCTATTACCACTAAGTACCTCATGTAAGTAGACCCAAACAACATTTCCCCTCCAATGTATGGCTTATTTCACTGAGTACAATGTTTTCAAAATTCATCCATGTTATAACACGAATCAAAATGTCCCTCCTTCTATGGCTTAATAGTCCACTGGACGGATTTATTGATCTTAAGATCTCTTTTACTTTTGTACAAACAAGTCTTTTGTCAGACATGTAATTTGTAAATATTTTCTCCTCACCTGCTGCTTGTTTAAGGATTTTCAAGGAGAAATAAATTCTAATTTTAATAACATACAAATAAATACAATCTCTAAAATAAAATGTCACCCAAATGATGCCACATTTCAGTGAATCCAGATACATATTTTAAGAATCAGAAAATCTCTTCCATTGCAATTCAACTAGAAGTCCTGGGTAACTCAAGTGTTCCTCCGATACTGAAATTCAGAGTTTCCCAAGTCATGTTATCTTTTTTAATATACAAATAGGTTGTTTTTAATTAAAAGCATACAATCTGGTCAGGTATGGTGGTACACCGCTATAATCCCAGCACTCAGGAGGCAGAGGCAAGAGGATCTCCTTGACTCCCAGGCCAGCCTAAGCCACACAGTTGAAGGCCAACTACATAGCAAGACCTTGTCTTAAAAAAAAAAAAAAAAAAAAAACTTCAAAAAATATTATTTCAAGGCTATTTCCAAAAACAAAGTTACCCAAACAGCTTACAGGTCATTAGGTGGGGTAGAAAAGTAGATCTAAATATATGGTTTTAGTTGGTTCATTAAGGAGTTTTGCTTCACTTAATACTCACACACATATATACACGTATACACTTTGTTCACTAGGGAGTTTGAGTTTTTAATACTTATACACACATGTAAACAGTTTGAAGAAGAATCCCCCTCTGATGCTGGGAGGGACCTTGAAGTACTAGACTCCACACTGATCCTTTTGCCTCAGCCACCAGAATGGCCCGGACATGGATCTTGAAATATTGTTAATTCTGCCAATAAAAATGAAAAAGACAAAAAGCCGGGTGTGGCGGCGCAAGCCTTTAATCCCAGCACTTGGGGGTACTGAGGCAGGAGGATCACTGAGAGTTCAAGGCCAGCCCGGGGCTACAAAGTGATCTCCAGGCCGGCTGAACTACACGGAGACTCTGTCTCAAAAAGACAGGGGGAAAAAAAAGGTGAAAAGGCAATGTAACACTTGTCACGTAAACGTTTTGTTTAGCACCAAGTGGGCCTATCAACTCTAGGAGTCTAGGCTAACTACATTAGCTCCAGGAGGCTCTGGCCCTGATGCAGGTGGCAAAAAGACCAGGGCTGGGTGAGCCAGAGATATCCTCTCGGCTTGCTTTAAGGGGACCCTCGGCTGCAGGGTCCCCGGCGCAGGGGGGTGGAGGGGGTTCCCTGAGCGCACACAGCCGTCCGGGCTCGGCCAGGCTCGCATCTCTGCGTTTTAGGCATGGGGAACAAGGCTCCGCGAACCCCGGACAGCCGGCAAGATGCGGAGGGGCAGGAGGAGGCCGCCCCGGAAACGATTCCCGCGCATCGGTGTCACCGAGCGCGACAGGCGGTCGGCACGGGGCAAATCGACGCGGAGGCGGCGGCGGACACGGTAGCCAGCACGTGCGCCGGGCTGTGGAGGCGCAGGGCCCCGACTGACCTGTGACGCTGGCCCGAGTGACGCGCTGCACTACGGCCTTCATGGCGGCGGCTGGGCGGGAGGCTGGCGACAAGGCAGCTCTGGGCTGGCGCCCTCTGCTGGGGACACAGAGAAGCGCGCGTAAGGCCCAGGGCGACCTGGACGCCGGCGCCCCGCCCACGTCTGCCACGCCCGCCCTCCGATTGGCCATTAGTTTTAACCACGCCCACAAACGTTATGTCACGCCCCTGCACCTTGGCCCCGCCCATGACCTCGGAGGGGGCCGCCCCCAAAGAGCCTCAGGGACTGTCCAGATTCCTCTCTGCCCCAAGGTAAAGGAATCTGAACGCTGGTTTCTCCCTTACTGTCTGCGGGCCTAAGAACCATCATCGTTCAACCCCAATTTACCTATTCATGTGTTTCTACTTTCTGCTTCCCACTCTGCCCCCAGGTTCTGCCAATTTCTTCCCCTTACCGGTCTGCTTCCACAGTTAAGCAGAGACAAAAGACTGGGCAGCTGTGGTGATGTCACACACCTGTGACCCCAGCACCCTGGGAGGCTGAGGCAGAAGATCTCAAGTTCCAGCTCACCTTGGCAACTTAGCGACACCGTGAGATCCTGTCTCAAAAATAAAAGGAGGGGCTGGTGAGATGGCTCAGTGGTCTAAAGCACCTATTTGAACAAGCTTAGCAAAGCAAAGGGACCACGGTTCAATCCCCCAGCACCACATGCCAGCCAGCCGCGCCCCCTGGTGGGCTGAGCTGGCCACACACACACACACACACACACACACACACACACACACACACACACACACACACACACACACACACACACACACACACACACACACACACACACATACATACATAAATAAATAAAATTTAAAAAAAAGACATAAAAAAAATAAAAGGAGTACTGGGGATGGAGCTCAGTGCAAAGGCCAGGGGTTCAATCAATCCCTGGTGGTGCACAAATAAGTAAGTGGATAAATATGTGCTGCTAAAATAGCCATTTAACTATGTAACTTCACTTGACTTAGCTATGTCATGACATGATAGTAAAAAGGTGCACGATTCTAAAATTCCAATTCCTTCTGTCATATGAATATATTAATACTTAGCCCCCCTTCTAGGGTGGTTAGGAAATTTGAATGAAACACACCATGGAAAACCACATAGAAGGCCCCAAAGGGCTGCAAGATTATCATTTTAACAAATTGTTACCATTGATGAAAACGGTTCAGGCAAAGGTCCAACATTTGCTGGAGGCAAATAGTGCAAAGGGAAGATTTCAACGGGAAGCTGAGTTCCACTGTGGAAGACCACTTGAGATCCAGGAGTTTAGATGTAGTTCTCTCTAAAGATGATCGCGTCATGTGCTCTCTCTCCCTCCCTCCCTCCCTCCTTCCCTCTCTCCCTTCTTTTCCCTCTCTCCTTCTCTCCCTCCCACCTTCCCTCCCTCTCTCCCTCCTTTCCTCCCTCTCCTTTTCTCTCTCCTTTTCTCCCTCTCTCCCTCCTTTCCTCCCTCTCTCATTTTCTCTCTACTTTTCTCCCTCTCTCCCTCCCTTTCCCTCTCCCTTTCCCTCTCCCTCCCTCCCTCTCTCCCCTTCTGCCTCCATGAAGTGAGCAGCTCCCCTCCCCCTGGCCCTTCCACTAGACCTTCCTCCCTTGAAGACTTCAATGCCCTGATATCAGAAAATTAACTTCAATTTAATACCATTAATTCCAGCAGTTCTCTAAATCTTTTTTAAGGAACTGCTTTGGAGGATCTGCAATATTCAATCATTTTCATGACAATATAAGGACAATATTTTCCTTTTTTTTTTTTAATTTTTGGTGTATAGTTCAGGGTGGCCTTGAACTCACTAAGTAGCCCAGGTTGGCCTCAAACTTGGCGCAATCCTCCTGCCTCGGTCTCCTGAGTGCTGGGATTATAGAAGTATGCCACCACAACTGCCTATTCATTCTTACTCTTTCAAGAGTGTGCAGTAGAGTTTTCCAGGGGCTTTATGGTATGAACCATACTGCTCTGTTAATATATAAGAAATATTTTGTTATTAAAAATGGTATTTCAGGTAGCCAGCCCTCATACAGGTTTTGCACATCTGTAATCCCAACACTCAAGAGGCTGAAGCAAGAGGATCATCATGAGTTTGTGTGACAGCAAATAGTTACATGTGTATGACCACCAAAATCTGAAGTTCAGATCCATACAAAAAGAGTGACAGAATGATTTTAAAAACATGAAAATAAGTTTATAATAAAAGTACAACAGATGTGAGCATAGTCAAATAATAGTACCACATAATGAGGCGGGGACAGCACCGAAGATGAAGGGGAAACTGCTGGAAAGGATTGTTTTGTCTTTTTGAAATAAGGTTTTGCTATGTAGTACAGGCTAGCCTGGAAGTCACTGTTTAGCCCAGGCTGGCTTCGAACTCACAGAAATTCTACCTCTGCCTCCCAAGTGCTGGATTTATAGGCATGCACCACCATGCCCAGCTGGGGAAGGATCTTGCACGAGATAGGGCCTTTGCCAGGTGAGAGAGAAAACGCCATGCCACACCCAGTTTCTCAGTTCCTTAAGGACTGCATTCAGACAAAAGTGATGCGGTGCCAACAGGCCTGCATAGCTGGAAGGACCACTGCCAGGTCTGGCTAGGCTTGGAGCAGTAACAGTCAGCAGTAACAGGGCAAGGCAGAACTGGAAACTGGCAGTCCCAGTACCTCCCTGGATGAGGATCCTTTTTATTTTTATTTTGAGATAGTGTCTTGTTAAAGTTCCCAGGCTAGGGTTGAACTTTCAATTCTGCTGCCTCAACCTCCCAAGTACAGTAACTGGAATTACAGGCATGAACAGCTAAATGAGTGTTATTTTTAATTGACAAATAATAATAGTGTATACTTATGAATTATATGATTTTTGACACAGGTATACATTGAGGCAAGTTCAAATCAGGCTAATTAACATGTCCATCACCTGAAATACTATTTTTTTGCGGTGAGAACATTTAAAATCCTGTCTTGGAGATGTGGCTTGGTGGGCGAATGCTTGCCTAGCATGCATGAGGCCCTCTGTTGGATCCCCAACCCTGCAAGTGTTATGTAAAACTTGTCGTTCAGCTCTGTAAATACAATATAGCATTAGCTAGTCAGCACACCACAGCTGGACCCAGTGCTTGTTCCCTGTCCCCTCTGCTAACCACACTCTGCTCACTACTGGAGCTATTTTCAACAAGGAGAAACATTCTGAGGTATTTCAGGACATATGGCCAGCTGGGCACAGTTTCTCACTGCCAGTCGCAGCTACTCTGCAGGCAAAGACAGAAGGATCACCAGAGTTCAAGAGTTTGAGGCCAGCTTAGGCAACGTAGCAAGAGCCCCATCTCAAAAAGACAAAACCTTCTTAAAAAGTCTATCTTGTGTATAAAGGCAAACTTCAAGTGGTACAGCAACAGAAGGCAGACCAAGGTGCTCTCTGGAGCACAAGTGAGCTACGAGCAAAGGTCAGCGATGGGGGCTTCACAGTATGCACAGGCGGGGACACATCGAGCTGTTTGGAGACAGCTGTTCACCTGGAAATGGACAGCACACAGGAGCTCGAAGCCACAGGAGGTGAGCTGGATGTAGCAGTGGCTGTGGACGTGGAGGACACTTGAGCCTGTGGGAGCAGCAGCCCACATCCACCCTGAAGCCTGCACTTCCCTCAGAATCCCCTCGCTGCACTGGCCAGAGCAGAGATGGGAGTTGCATTGGCCTTAAAATGGAAAATCCTGATTCTAAATGAGTGCCCCAAACTTCTCCCACATCCAGCCTCCAGACTCCCTGAAGTGGGGCCCCACTCAAGAAGCTTAGGCTACATAGTGAGTTCGAGGCCAGCCTGGACTATAGAATGAGACTTTGTCTCAATCCCACCCCCCCAAAAAAAAAAGTAATGACGGGGTAGCAATGAAGTTTACTGGTAGGGCCTTGCTTAGCATTCGCAAAGCCATGGGTTCAATGCTTGTAAGGAGCCCTTTTTGGTCCTCATCTCAGTCCAAGAAGTTTATATTTGTAATCCCAAAATACATTTTTGGAATCCTATCAAGTTAATTCCAACCTACCACTTCTAGTGCAACCCATGGCAAGAATAAAGACACTAAGGCATATTTATAATTATGAGGAGCCAAGGGGTCCCTTGTCTAGCCATGGTGATGGCTATCCAGAACAAAAGGCCTCAACCCAGGGCCGAACCTGAGTTTTATTCACTCATGAAGGAGAAGTGGCTTGAGGATGACTGAGAATTGCAGGAAGTGGGTACCATGAGCTGGGCTTGGTAGGTGGCCTGCATTTATCTCTTGGTAATGCAGAGAGGATATGCAGAAAAAGTAACTTGCACTATACTGTTGAGATACATCTAATGTTTTGGGGTCCAGTGCTTCAGCTCTTATGTGTAATTTTTCAAGCCCTAGGAAGTCATAGCTTCTATCTCAAGGTTCAATCCCAGCTGACAGCATGGAGCATTGGCTCTTTGTCCTGTCTCAACCCAGCTCATATTAAAGAGCAACAGGTGTGGGTTATCAGGGAAACATGTATGTCGTCTTTAAAGACTACCCCAGCACCTCAGCTAGACCAATATGCGCTGCTTAAGGCCAATTGAAAGGATAAGGAAAAGTCCTAGCCAGCTCTGTACATATCAGTACATTGAAAGAGGGTCAGGCACAGCCAAAATGGAGACAACTGCTTTTCTCTCAAGGAGAGTCACTCAGATGGTCCTCCATAAATGCTGAGCACCACATACACACAACTGCAATTAAAAACTGGGTTGCAGAAGACACAATGTTTATGTTTAATGTCCATCCCCCATTGGAAGGTGAAACTCCACAAGGCACGGCTTAAATGGAGCCCACCCTCAGAGCAACGCTGGTGGTAGTAGTAAGGGCTCAGTACTGCCATCTTGAACATAAAAATTATTTTGAGTAAAGACACTGGAAGGAGGGTGTGTGATACACACTTGTCAGGCAGGTACTGTGTCCCTATATAGTTTAGGGACTATACTTGTTGTTCCAGGACTATGTAGCCAAGCTGGTCTCAAACTCACAAAGATCCTCCAGCCTCTAGGATTACAAGAGTGTGCCATCACACCAGCTATTTTAAAAGGACCACCAAGGCTTTAACAGTAGCATGAAAAACTTAACACTCACTAGTTTCAAAACACTGAACTTATGGAACCTCAATGTGAAATTTCACATCAACCTTTTCCCATGTTGAGAGGAATATCCCTTTAATTACATAAGTTTAGCTTCTGTCAAGGCAATATTTATTGTACATTTAACAACAAAAATAAATATATACTTTCCACAGACATAAAGTGGAAATCAAGGCTCTATCATATGTAAATACTGGGCCAAAGTCCTTGTTTTCAGAATTCAGCAGCCAATCATGGTTCTGATCCAGAATTACCAGTCCATTTTTTCAAAACGTTGCGGATTCGTTCGGTGAGTGGAACATAATCTTCTTTATAAAGGACAACTGTCTCCACATAAAACCCTTTCAGGGGCTCGAGTACAATTTCATTTTCACTTCTTGAGAGATCCTTTTGCTCTACTTCAGGACTTTCTAAAAGAAAATGAACACCTGAATTATGAGACCTGTCATTCAAGTTCTGGAAATAAAGTTAAAAATTATAGCATCAGAGGCCTGTTATTTCATTCCTTTAAAAAAAAACATGCCAACACTACAGACATGTTTCCAAATATCTGAGACTGCGCAATGATAACATTCAGGCCACTTATAAAATGATTTCTTCATAGCAGGTTTACACAACAGTTTTACTGAAATATATTTAACGTACAAGTAACTTACTTTAAAAGAATTGGGCGGCTTTTTTGTAATATTGATAATTGTTCAACCAGCCCAACTGGCTCCCAAACATCTTCATTCCCTTAGGTTTAGCGCTCACCGCCCATCTCCCAGCCCCTCAGCCCGACAACCACCCCCGTCAGCTTCGCAGCGCTCCAGGGATTTCCAGCACAGAGGCGATGGCTCTGCGAGTGCCTTTTCTGCCCAGTAACTGGAAAGACTTATATTCCTCGTCGGCTGCCCGCCGTGTGCGAACTGAGCTGATGACAGAAAGCATCTCTTCCTTACACCAAGGCCAGGGTGTCTGAAGTCCCATCGTGGACTTTACAGATTCCTCCAATTCTGAGTATGAGTACGGGCTTATTCAACAAAACAGGTTTAAATGACAGTATCTAACGGGCATCTCCTGGCATCTTTTTACAGACTGTATTTCAACACGCGGCATGCAACCGGCTCCACCGACACTGCAGAAGAGACCTGCGGCCCTACACAGGAAGAACCCGCCTCCCTGACCCCTGGGCACCTCGCGGAGGGCAGCGGGTCCCGAGGAAGTGACCTACCTGAAGGCGTCTTCTTTCCGTAAAAGTAAAAAAGGGAGCCAAACAGGGTCCAAGTGCCAAGCCCGTAGACCACAGACATGCGACGGTACCAGGCCTGAGCCTTCCACGGCTGCATGGTGGCACGCCAGCCCTAGGTCACCGCAGCTCAGGCAGAGGCGGGCCTTCCGGGCAGCGCGGGGCGGTATTCGCCGCCACCGCCAATGAGAAGCCGGCCTCGCGACCGCGATGCATGCTGGGTTGTGTGGTCCGGAAGCCGCTCCCGGCTCCAATTCAGGAGCTTGGGTCTTTGGAAAAGGACTGTGGATGCAGGAAGAGGAGCAGCGAGCTGGTGACACTGCGCGCCACGTGAAGGAGAGCAGTTGAGTTTTCGTGAGCATTTGCAAGATTGCTGTGCCTGCTTTACACAGACCAGATGATATTTGAGAAGTTAGTTCCATTTCCTCTTACAGCCCTCAGATTTGCGAGGACGCTACTTGTGGCTCCCTGTAACTCATCTTTCCAGTTTCCCTGTCTGGAACTCTGGGTGAACTTCGGTACCTCAAGTCATCTCTCCTCTGTCGTCTGGGTCTCATTATTCAGCCTCTGCTGGGCCTCACGTATCAGTCACGCAGTGCTGCCCCACACCCCCCCATTTTCATTCCGTGCACTTTATCTTAATCGTGCCAACTGTACCCACATCACAAAAATGTAAAAATCTTCCATCCTGAGCACCCTCAGCTTCTCTTATTCATACATTTCTTAAAGCATAATCCATCCGCGCTCTTAGAGACTTAGCCACTTGAGAGCGAGGCTGGTGCTTGGTCCGAAGTAGGTTCAGTCAACAACCTTCACTTTTCACCCACACTCGAACTTCATTTCCTTCCCCCCCCCCTTGGCTTATGAATTTTTTTTTCCATAATTTTATTGAGAGACAAATAGAAATGAGACAGTTTCAAATCAAATTGGTAGGACAGTTTCAATAATTAACACATTGCATACTCTCTTCCTAGTGGTTATTTGCTATACAGGATGCAGACATGATATCCTATATACCAACACTATTACAACAAATCCCTCTATTCATTAAGAGAATGTAACTATATATCTATCCTAACCATTTTGAATACACAGATACAAATGGACATTCATCTGTATCCCTTTTTTTGTTTAGTTCCGTCATTTGAATATTATAGGTGTGTTAACTCAGCAAAATATTCTAAAAGAGTCCAGTAGTCCATAATAGTATTGGGTTTTCCACTTCATTGACAATGTCAGAAATTGTTGACCTGAGTCCCCTACAGCTCAACATAACAGCACGGCTTTACTTCTTATACTTCGTTTTTATACTTTGCTGCTGGATGGTTAAGACTAAGATAAAGCAAGACCTATGCAACAAGAGTTGTAGCTTTTGGATCTGATAAGGTCAGTGAAAACCCCTCAGGATTTATCCTGAGATCCTGTACCTCAGATTGTAGATCCTTTGTCAGTGTCAGCCCTGTGGATGAGTCATGGCCATTGCTTGGCCAATGTGCTCCCCGTGAAAGCCTGAGAGAATGTTTTCTCTCCATGTGACTCTCCTTAGGCACACTCTACACCATCGATCACTTTCCTCTTTGGCCCCATAATCTCCTTGATCAGAAAATCTGGGACACTACTGAGTTACATGACGTTACAGTACAAGATATCATATGTTCTGAGTCTTAATTGACCTTAGAAGGCTAGAGCCAAAATTTTGGCTTTCCTTGCGGCCCTCCTTTTTCTCTAATTTTGGTCTGCAAACTTAGGTTGTTTACCCTCCAGAAGACAAGCTTATTGTTATTACCATACAACCTAGGCTGTTAAGCTTAACCTCACTATCTGTCTGAATATCAAACATCTTAGGCATAACATGGAACAGGTATTTTTCCTCAAGTATTGATATGTTGAACTTTAAGTCCCTACAGAATATGATGAAAAAACATTTTAAAAATTAAAATACATTTGAAAAATAGGCATAATATATAATTCTTTATGCCTATTTTTAAAATATATATTTTTTGAACTTCATTTCTAAAGAGCGTTTGACATTGACACCCACTCTCTTTCTACGCTTTGGAAACATTTTCTCTAGTATTTTCCAGGGCTTCTTTTCCCTTGAGTATTCTTTAAGGATTGGTGTTCTGCCTACAGAAATCTGTACCTCCAAAAAATTATAGAGATCACGGGCTTAAATGTAAAGCTAAACCTACAAACCTAGAAGAAAGCATAGGAGAAAAATCTTGCCATTTTGGGAAAAGTGAAGATTTTTTTAAAATACAAAACAAGCATGAACCACAAAGCAAGTTAATTTTAAATTCTTCAAAATTAAGGCTTTTACTTTTTCATTACTTTTTCAAAGTCACAGGTGACAAAATGAAAAGACAAACAGTATGAAAATTTCAAAATGCATATATCTGACAAAGGACTTGTAGCCAGGATATGTAAGGACCTCTTACAATGCTTATAAGCAGACAATCCAACTAAAAACCCAACCCTTTGAACATGATCAAAGAAGACACACAACTGGTCAATAAACACAGGAACCTCAGTGACCAAAGAAATGCAAATAAAAATATTGGGCAAAAAGTTAGACACAACCAGACCTGGACATAGGGGGCTAGAGGATACCTGAAAAGCAAAAATGTATGTGTGTGTAGCCCAAGAAGGTATCAAGACCAGGGGGGTAAGGCTGGAAAAACCTCACAGTTTCAAACCATACTAAACACTATGTAGCCCAGGCTGGCCTCAATTTTATGGCAATCTTCCTGCCTCAGCTTTCCCAGTGCTGGGATTACTATCTTTTTTTTTTTTTTTTTTCTTTGAAGTACTAGGTATCAAACTTGGGACCTTGTACTTGGCAGGCAGGTGCTTATGCTGCTGAGCTATCTCCCCAGCCCTCAAACCACACTAAACAGAAAACATCGATCTACACAGAGACTAAGCAGGTCAACACAGCACATTTGTTTTATAGAACAGTGAGCTTGGAGGAATAGTTAGCTATTCCTTGAAAGACCCAGTAAATGTTACAAGGAACCTGAACCCTCAGTCAGTGCAGTTGCCATTTTGGCAGGTGCTCACCTTCCTACTTGAGATACACTATGTGTTTTCTCTTTGCAGTAAGCCCTCTGTATACACTCTATCCAATGGCCTTGAGTGTCTTATCTGCAGTCCTTCGTCCCAGAAACAAAGATGTATGTTGCCAGTTCCTTGTGGTGTTAGGACCTTCCAGTATTAGGATCTAAGTTCCCAGTGACAAAAATGCCTCTTAGGAAGGCTAACACTAGATTGGAAAACACAAGAAGTTGTAAGGATTTGATCCCCCTGTAACTCTTACCCATGGCAACATGAACATTACAGTGTCTTTGCAAAGCTGGTAGTTACTAAGTTGAACACATGCTCATCATGTGACAATCACTCCAACCCGTTTCCCAGAAGTGGAAATCCTTACATCCACACAAATACAAGGGCAGGATGTTCAGTGTTGTTCATAGTAGCAAAAAATGGAGAATACTCAGATGTCTACCAGCTAGTGAATGGGTCAATGAGAGTCTATTCACCATAAAAACAAACTACTGACACAGCAAGATGGATGGATCATAGAGGGATAGAGTGAAAATCTAGAGGATGGGACCTCTGAAAGAGACAGAGAGATCACACAGATCATTCATCGTCTCATCTTTTACTTCTCTTAATTGCTGGCCTTCCCTAACCTGAACCTCAGCTCCAGAGGTGCAGGAATTTGTGTCACTGGCCATATTTCCAGTGCCTGGAAGACTACTCTATGAGCAGCAAGTACTGAACAGTTCTCTGTTGAATGAATGAAATCATGGATCCGGAGTGCCGACAATTATTTCAGACTAGAATTTTAGACACAGAAGAGCTGCCAATCATGAAGACAGAATGGACTTCCAGATGTGCCCAGATCTAAAGAAACGCTTTGCAAGGGCTCTTCTAAGGAAAAGTCACTTGAGACAGCAAAATGTCTTACAGAATAAAAAGGATGACACTAATCCAGGATTTCACACAAAAGAAATTCCTGGGCAACAGCTGTGCAGCAATAGCTGTATAGGAGGCCTAGAAAACAGTTGGCTCGTTAAAAGAGGGCACCAGAAGCTTTTTAAAGAAAAAGCAACTTCAGTAGGCTAGGAAGGTAGACTCTTAATAAGGAGAAGGCAAAATAATTCTACAAAAAAATGCACATCTGTAAGTTCAGCTACTTGGAAGGCTGAGGCAGGAGGACTGCAAGTACAAGGCCAACTTAGTGAGACCGGTCTCAAAAGGGCTGAGGGTATGGCTCAGTGGTAGAACACCCTGGGCTCCTTCCCCAGGACTGCCAAAGAAAAAAACAAGAAGTCAACTAAAACCAAGAAACTCGGGGAGGGCCTGGGGAAATAGCTCAGTAGAATAAGCGTTTGCCTGGCAAACGCAGGGTCCTGAATTCAATCTCCAGTACCACAAAAAAAAAAAGGAAAAAGAAAAAGAAACTCAGGCAAACAATAGCAAATCTAAGAACATATAAACCAAACAGGAAGCCAGCCAGTATGCAGCATGATATATATAAGAAAAGTCTTAGATTTTATGTGGAACATTCTCCTTCAAGTGACATGGAGACCAAGTACGACACAGAATCTGTGAGGGAAAATGACAGATGACCATCACCTGCCTTGGAGGAGAACAATATGTACATCAGTACGGTTGTGTAAAGGTACTTTATTAAGCTTTCACAATCAAGTTTAAGAAACAAAAATACAATTATGGTTAAGGCTAAAATATAAATGGTACCAATCTTTATAAAAATAAAGGTATCACTGACCAAAACTGGGGAGTAGAAAGGTCACAATATCCTCATTCCATACATAGAAACTGGACGATACTGGCTAGAACTTAATACTTCAACAACAAAAACACAGAAGTTGAGTACAGTTCTGAGTGGCAGCTTTAGGATTAGGGAGAGAAGGGAATTGTTTATAAACTCTCCAGAGTAAGGTGTTTGGCCATACATATACATCACTTGGATTTTTACTTTTATTTTTTTATTTTTGGCCAACTCAGCCCACCCTCAGGGCAGGGCTGGCACGGCATGTGGTGCCGGGGATTGAACTACAGTCCCCTGCACCTGCCTAAGCTTGTCCTAGCAGGCGCTTTCGACTGCTGAGCTATCTCACCAGCCCTCACTTGGATTTTTAAAAAACATCCATTCAAGTCATTTTATTTGATCCCTAAGACAGATGCATTGTCAGTAGGGGAGTCACTCAGGCTGAGGGCCGTGGTTGATTTCACAAGGCTGGATTAGACAGCAAGTTACTTGGGAGTCACCCCAACCCTCTAGCCCCAACAGAGCTTCACACATATCTTACTTTTCCTTGGTCTCCTAGTGTTTACAGTGTGAGTAATAAGCTCAGAAAAAATGTCATGTGTCCTGAATAGAGGAGGAGATCTCAGGCATCAAATGTGCAGTTTTATCCAGTGCTTTCCTTGCCCAGTTTTATTTCTTTGATGAGTTTTAAGATCTGCATCTAAATAAGCTGCCAAGATACATCATCTCTCATTTAGAGAGAAGGGTTTTGTTTTTTGTTTTTTTTGCTCCGAACGCCTTCAGGGCAGGTTTGGCTGGCTTGAGTTGTGGGGATCGAACCACAGCAATCTGAGCCTGACTGCTTTGTTGAAGCAGCCACTTAAAGAACTGAGCTAAGGGGCAGGCCCCCTCATCTCTCATTTAGAGACTAAAAAGTTAGCACACACAAAAAAGCCACATAAATATCTACTAAAACATTTATGACCTTACAGTTTTATGGTACAGAAAAGGGAAGGGCACATCAAAAAACAAATAAATTATAACCTGCAGACATACATACAAAGCTTATCTTGATTATTTAGTAAAAGCTGCCAGGAAAGTGAAAGGAACGTTACAGAGCCTTTACAGACAATGGGGAGCACCGGTCAGGGCTCGCCTTAACCCCGTGGGCCCACCTAAGAGGCGCTGGAGACGGCCAGCTTCTTCAGGTGGTCCATGAACACCTGCAGGCTGACATCGTCGGTCAGGATGGGTGCTCCGGTTTCCTGCAATGCAATGGAAGAGCTCAGTGGCAGAGACCCGGAAGCCGGGTAGCATGCACGAGCTGTTAGGCACCTCTCTGTCTTGGAGCACCCACAGGCGCCACCTCTGCAGAGGTAACTGCTTTCAGCTGAACGGCACCCCACTGCTGCAGACTCGGTCTCGAGCATACACCTTGCCATGTCACTCAAGACTATCTTGCAGGACATTAGCTTTGGTGGAAAATGAGAAAAGCATACAGGAAATCTCATTTATATTATTTCCTACAACTGCACACAACTTCCAACTATCTCAAAAACAAGTTTAATTTTTAAAAGATATTAGAAAACAGAGCAATCACCAAAAGACACATAGATGCTGGGAGCAATACCTAGCAGAGGCATCTGCTAAAAAAAGTGGGCGGAGGTGCTGTGCGGCACAGGAGGGAAGGACCGGGCATGCTGCAGCACTGACCCATGAGCAGCACCCACCCCGCCTCAACTACATCACTGCCAAGTCAGGTGTCTTCCCCGCAGCAAAAGTACCCATTACCCTTTCTGTCTCAGGACCAATTGATAGGATTTTAAACAAATTTTTAAAAAGTAGCCTGCCCTCCTTCCCAGACCCTCAACTATTTCTTACCTGTCCCCAAGCATACAGGTTATTGTGTGTTTGAGAAGGGTTCACTTTGGACAAAAGGAACCGAGCCTTTAAAAAAAAAAAAAAAAATTAAAGGTTAGAAATGGCATTAATATTAAGAGTGATATGTAAAATAGCTTTCATGTTTCTCTGGTGAAATCAGAAGGCTCTCACTGAATAGGAGCCTCTAGAGTATATGCAGACGCTACAGGTCGCTGTCGACACCACCCTTCTACACCGGCATATTCACATCAGGAGTCAAGCTGAACAGATTCACCTGCAATTACTTCACCACTTCCAGCAGCACCAAGCGCTTAGTATGGATCCCAGCTATCAGTCAGCTCCCAAGGTGGGCAGAGCTCACCTGGCTGCCACCATGCTCAGTGTGGACATAGCGTGGCATGGGGAAGCGCGCCTGCAGGATCTCCTGCGCGTCATCCAGCGGGGCCTGCAGCAGGTGCTTGAAGTTCTCATACTGGGGCATGTTCTGGTAGCCGGCCTTCTGCCACTGGGAGATGGTCTGTACGGACAGAAGCCAACCTGGACTGTTAGGAGGCTGCAGCAGTGTGGCTCCCAGCCCTGCTCCAGGCCTTCCCACAGCACCTCCCCAGCTTCCCAGTGAGATCACACATCACGTGAGGGTTCTGGGGGTAGAGCTGGCTGGGAAGAGGAAAGGCAGGAGGCCCAGAGTGGGGCACCCAGAACACCACCTAGGAACCCCTCCCAGGGATGCCAGCCATCAGCTTTGTCCCTTCCCAACTGCACAGCAACTGGTTAATACGGAGCCCCTCCTTCCTTCCTTCCTTCCTTCCTTCCTTCCTTCCTTCCTTCCAGTCTACTTGCACTATTACCCCACCTAGCCTCTGCTGCTGGCAGCACAAAGCCATGCCCCCTTCTCTTTGTCCAACAGCACCCCCAATGGCTACCCTCAGGCAAGGGCTGAACAGGTGGGACAGGCCCACCCCAGCCCTGCTCCTCTCTAGGCAGGGGAGAGAAAAGGTATAAGAGCCAGGTGTGTTACTGCTCGCCTGTGATCCTGGCACTGCACAGTGGGAGGCCAGGGAACGGGGATCACAAGTTTGAGCCTAGCCTGGGCAATTTAGCAATTTAGTGCAATCCTGTCTAAGGGAAAAAAAAAAAAAAAAAAAAAGGCAGGGCAGGGGATGGAGTTCAGTATAATGCCCTGGCTTCAATCCCCACTACCACAAGATGGCCTGCGTTAGAGGTACAGTGGTAGAGCACAGCTGGCTCCCATACCACGAAACAACAGAACAAACCACCTCCCTCCCGCGAAAAAAAAAAAAAAAAAAATGTGACTGTAACATCAGAAGAGTCTCCTCAGAGCCAGCCTCCTACTACAGCCTTCTCTCCCCTCAGCGGTGCCAGCCACCACTGTCCTCATCTCAGTCCATCGCACTGATGGCCAGAGGAAGTGCCCATAACTCCCTTGGCTCCAACAGCTCAAGAACACCCACACCAGCAGAGTCAGGGCTTCTGAAGAGCAAGAAACAAATACACGAAAAAAATCTCACATCTTCCTCTTCCCTCAGCCAAAAAAGGTGCTTAATAAATATGTGATGCTGTCAGCAGGAAGCGCCACTTCAGGTCACCACTTGGCCTGGGACTAAGGGCAAGGGGCAGGGAGATGTACAGACAGGCTGAGAGTTTCAAGTTCTAAAACACCTACTAGTAGCTGAAAATTGTAAGTTATTCAGGAAATTCAGAAATATAAGTAATATCCTTTTAGAACATCCTTTCAAATATAATTAAATATTTATAATTAAATATAATTCAGAAATATAAATAATATCCTTTCAATCACTTGTATCGACTGTACACTAGGAAGCAATCACCAAAAGCAACTTACTGAATGGAGAAAAAAAACAGTAGAAGACAGAGCGTCACCAGACGTAATGTGGAGTAGAGGGGTTTTGCACTGGACAGGGTGGCACATGCCAGTTATCTCAGCTACTTGAACGCTGAGATAGGAAGATCACAAATTCAAGGCCATGGAGAATTTGGCAATGCCCAGGCTCAAAATAAAAATATTTTTAAAAGGGCCTCAGCACTCCCCTAGTTCAACCTCTAGTGTGATTTTTAAAAAAAAAGAATACCTTTTCCCCCTTATAAAGATGCAAGGGACTGGGGACATAGCTCAGTGGCAAAAGTGCCTGCCTGGCAAGCACAAGGTTCTGAGTTTGATCCCCAGTTTTAGAAAAAAATTTAAAGCGATACAAAAATTCAGAGGGGCCATTTCTTCCAGAGAGCACAAACCCTTTTAAGAAAGCAAAGAAAGAAAAGAAAAAGCGCAATCCTCTTGTCCCTGAGGCTATCCACAGCCACTCCAGGGACCCAGGGAGCCAGCATGATGTCCCTGTGAGAGGCTCTTCCATCAAAGAAAAGCTATAGGCCCACACTCAGCACTCACAGAACCCTGGAAGGACATCAGTTTGTATAATAACTTAATGAGGAAGAGTAAACTCAATTACCTAAACACAACTTCAGAAATAATAAATTATGGTGACTGAAAAGGACCACCTGAGATTTTCTTACAGCAAATACTACTCTTGCGAAGTATAAAAATACTACTGAATTCTTGCTTCAAATGTCATGAAAAACCCAGTTCCTAAGTACCAAGAAAGCAGAAACAACAGCCAGGAGGAAAGCAGCAATGTCATCTTACCTCACCAAGATAAATGACAATTTGGAAGAACGTGTCCATCAGCAAGATTCTGTCGGCCAGAATGCTGCTGCTGTCCAAGAGCACCGGCTGGAGAGAGACGGGGCGTCAGGCCTCGCCCCTCCCCAAGGACAGCCACCACAACCCCAACACCAGCGCCCCGGCTGGACTAGTGCTCTCCACCGTGGGGCTCCAAGTCTTAACTTCAAATAGAGACAGGGCCCCCCAAAACCAGAAGGGAACCAGAAATGATTCTGAACATTCCGTTTCCTGCTGGAAATCCGCCTTACCATTCTGATCTCTCAACTCTACCTTATCATTTCTATTTCAATTTTTACTTATTTATTTTGGTACAGGGTCTCACTACACAGCTTAACTCCCTGTAGTGATCCTCCTGTCTCAGCCTCCATAGCCCTGGGATTACAGGTGTGTGCCACCACGCCTGGTTTCAGTTGTCAGCACGGCGCGCCTAGAGTTCCGTAGCCAGCAGGGCATGTGGTACTGGGGATCAAACCCGGGTTTTTGTGCTTGCCAGGCAGGGGCTTAGACCACCAAGCTATCTCTCCAGCCCCATGATTTCTATTTTAATAATAAAAAGAACTTATACTAAATTTTTATAAATCTGAGTGTAAAAAATATTGATATTTTAGTTTCTTTTCAGTTTTTTTGATGCCTTCTAAAAAACATAACTTTTTTTTTTTTTTTTTTGTGCGGTTGTGCGGAACCGGGGACTGAACTCAGGCCCTTGTGCTTGCCAGGGAAGCGCTTATTCCACTGAACCATCTCCCCGGCCCCAAAACATAACTTTCTTTAAAAAAAAAAAATCATAACTGACTTTATCTGCAAACTAAGCAAGTGCTCTATTTCCATATAGATAAATACAAAAAGCTTCTATTTCTTTTTCATGTGACATTTTCACATTAGGACTTCTGTATTTTATGTTCCATAAACTATATGACTATTTCTTAAGTTATTTCTCCACTGCTGAGCTTCTGGACTGTTATAAAACGAACAGGAGTTCATTTCCTATTTCTCTGTACAAAGCCTTTCTCTAGGAATATTTTTTCAGACACTTTGTAAGACTTGAATTAATGGTCAAAGCATATGAACTTGCTGGAGGGATAAAACATCTTTTCTGTAGCTATTACTGCCTCCCACGAAAACACTGTTTTATATATCTTTTGAATTTTTCCTATGGATTCTTTTTAACTACTCAGAAATGGAAAGTGCTACAAAACTTCAAAAGTTTTCTTTTTTCCAGCTGTTGGGAGAAGCTGCCGGGGAAACCCTCCACTGAGGGCGCAGCCAGGCCTGGCTCACCTCCGGGGGGCCATGGAAGGAGTATGAGTAGAGGATGGGCTGGATCATGATGAGGGACTGCGTTAGGTCCTGGCGCGCAAAGTGGTGTCTGTAGTAGGACGACTCGTCGGGACTGTTGTTAAACACCTGGAGGAACGGCGACCTTCTGAGGTGGAACATGAACTGCACGAAGGGGAGGAAGACAAGCGCACAGAGCTGTGAGCCCTAGTATCCAGAGGGCAGACCCACCTGGTTTCCACATCCGGAGGACCCCGACTCTCCAAAAGGACCCCCCAGCTTCACAGAGACAGAGGCAAAAGTGGCACAGGGGCTGGCGGAAGTGGGAAATGGGGAGTCTTTTTTTTTTTTTGCGGAACCAGGTATTGAACTCTGGCTTTTATGCTTATTCTACTGATCCATCTCCCCAGCCCCGGAGTCATTGTTTAAGGGGTACAGTTTTAGCTTTGCAAGATGAATTCTAAACATTTTTTGTACATCATGAACATGTCTAACATCACACAACTGTACCCTTAAATATAGTTCAGATGGTACACTCTAGCACAATAAAAATTTTTCAAAGTATTTTTTAAGGGGGAGCTCCTGGATATGTCAAAGCTTTCTTATGAGCAAAAACGCAAAAATTTATTTCCAGAGTCCCTGACTGGGCTCTACGACTATCCGCTCTCAAAAAAATGAAGTAAAATGGAGAAAGATACACTTGGGACTTCGTATAGGAGCCACAGCACAAGAATCTCCTACAGCAAGAGCAGTAGCAGACTCCCCAGAATGAGGGGTTTGGGATCACCTTGAAGACACACATGCAGGCTGAGGGCAGGGGTGGGAGGGCAGAGACAAGGGCCGCAGGGACTGGAGAGCAGACAGCACTCAGGATGTGACTGGTGAGCGAGGGGGGAGAAGCGTGAGGCCAAGGCGCAAGAGACAACACTGGAAAGGGAACTTCTTTTTTTTTTTTTTTTTTTGGTTCCTCGAATGCCTTCAGGGCACGTTTGGCCAGTGGGAGAGTTGTGAGGTTCGAACTCCAGCAACCTGAGGCTGACAGCTTTGTGGAAGCAGCCACTTAAAGGACTGAGCTAGGGCCAGGGCCCCATAAGGGTTTTTTTTTTGTTTGTTTGTTTGTTTTTTTGGAAAGGGAACTTCTTTAACCTAGCATGAAGGGGCAGGACAGGCCTAGCTCACTCTGCAGAGCAGTCAGAAAAGGAAAACATGCTTCCCCTACATGCAGCAAGTTGCCGGAGCCTCTACATGTTAATGACAGGTTCTGAAATAACCGTAGTGGCTGGCACTCATGCACATGGCAAGGATTGCTGAGGATTGTTTGGTCCTTCCAGGAGCCCACACAGCAGGGTCTCACGCTGCTCCAAGCCTTCAGTGAGGAAACTGAAGCACAGGAGCAAAGCCCAAGGCCTCTTGCTCTCTGCATGGCAGCTGCTCTCCAGTTCAGGCCAGGGCTCCGGAGACAAAACCCTGACCTCACCTCGAATGCCTCACTACAGCAGCACCAAGCAGCCACCTCAGCTGGGAGCTCTGCCTGGCTCACCAGAGCCTCAACATGGGAGGCCCAGCAGCTCCCAGTGTGTCGGGTCAGTGGCACAGACTGGCTGCCAGGACGGCCCTCAGGAAAAATGGGTCTCATGTCTCTAAAGAGACTTCAAACCCCTCCGGCAGAGCAGACCAACTCCTCCCTCCCAAGGATGAGGAAACCAAAATGCCTATGGGCATGGGATGCCATCCACAACAAGTGGGAGGAAGCAGGAGCAGGGCAGCGTGGGGCTCTCCCCACAACACTGAGGAGCCTCAACCGCAGGGACATGGGCACTGGAATAGGCCACGCTGCCCCACAAAGTGCTGACCAGGTACCGGCATGAAGAAAGGTGCTGCGCCCTCAGAGGCCTCAGCTCATGCAACCCTGCCATCAGCACTGAGTGAAGGGTGGAGGTGCAGCCATGGGCTGCTGACCTTTGTCACCTGCAGTCTGACACTGAAAACCCAGAAGCCTTCATTTTGCCCTGGGCATAGTTTATTGTTGTGTAGTAAATATGCATCTCTTTTTTAGTGGCTTTTTTTTCCCATTCCCTTCTGTGGATGGAACCCAGGGCCATGTGCGGAGCTACATCCCCAGCCCTGGAGCGAGATTTCTCACCTGAGGATATAGAGAAAAGGCATCTGAAAGCCTAAAAGATGTGGGATCTTCTTTGGTATATTGTCCAAACTTCTGACACTGTTGAAAGAAAAAAATTCAAAACAAAAAAACCCCTCAAGTTAGTGTCACCTGGAAAACTGCAGTCTGAGCCCTGTTCCCACCTTAACTCTGCCTGTCCCAGGAGTTCTGGAGGGCAGAGGGGAGGAGCCAGAGCTCTGTACCTCTGGCAGCTCCCAGGCAACACCGCAGGGCCCACATTGAGCTGATGGCTGCCTGGCTCTGTGAGGCACCTCAGCCACGTGACAGCCTGTGCGATCATGCCAACCAGTATGCACATGGGCTATTCTCTTGTGTGATGACACGCTGTTCTCCCCTCTATATGGTGGATCTCCACACTGTCAAGTTCTCTCTCCCTTTCCTGCCTTTACTTCAATCGCACCTTTCCTCCAGTCAACGGAGAACAGGCTGTCCGCAGTCAGGAAGCTCGCTGCCAGCAATCGCTCCCTTTCCTATCTCTGCCCATCGCCCAACGAAGCCTCCTCTGCCTTCTGTAGCAGCTCCTTGTTCTCCTCACTGCGGGGTGACCACAGGTGGGTTCATGGGCCCTGCTCTCCTCCCTGCTGCCTTGGTAACAGATGAACACTACAACCACAACAATGACTCCAAATCTCCCTCCCTGTGTCCAGTTCCAAGTGGCAGTGGGGATTTCTACCTAATCATTGGGCGGCTTTCCATAGAAATATAAATCTATTGCGTAGAGCACCCTAATTACAGGCACCAGGCCATCTCGGGATATATTTTTATAAGCTCACATTCAACCAATCAAAAATAAGCCAATTTTTCTTTTAACTGAAATCAAATTTTCATGACAAGATAATAGAATAACAATAGCTAACACATTGTATATCATTATCTTTAAAGTAATTACTCAGAGCACAATGTATGGACACAAAAAATTCTCCAACTGATACTAGCACAAACCTTCATCTTCCATGAATCAAGAGACATTAATAGCATAACTAACTTGTATTTTTTTTCTTTCCCTTCTTTCTCTTTTCCCCCACTCTAGTTCTTTTTTTAATTTTAAATAATTTCTTCTCTTTCCACAATATTTATTGTACCTTTTTTTTTTTTTTTTGGTGGAACCAGGGATTGAATTTTGGTGGAACCGGGGATTGAATATTGTACCTTTAAGACCTTATTTATTCTTGTGATTTCTCATACCAGCAAGACAATACGATATTTACACATGTGAGTCTGATTTATTTCACGTAAGAGTACGGTCTCAAATTTTAACCATTTACCTATAAAAGCCTCAAGTTTATCTTTCTCTAAGGCTGAGTAGTACTCCATTGTATAAAAACACATCTTTTTTATCCATTCCTCAGTTGATGGGCATTTGGCTTGTTTCCAGGATTTATTTATTGTGAATTATTTTTCTGTATTTTAGGGAAGTGTCTACAGGGTGTTCAGGGTCTCACTACTAGATCGGACTTTTGTAGTGATCTGCCTGTTTACAGCCTCCCAAGAGCTGGGATGACAGGCGTATGCCACTACACCCAGTCTCAATTGCCATCTCAGCGCACCCGGGGGGGGGGGGGTAGGGTCGGAATGGCCGGCCCAGGGATCGAACTCCTGGTCCCTGTGCCTGTCTGCAGGCGCTTTACTCCCCTGAGCCATTTGGCCGGCCCTCTGTTTCCAGGATTTAGCTATGAAAATTGTGCTGCCATGAACATGGGTGCACAAATATCACTGTAGTATGATGTTTTTAATTCTTCTGGGAAGATACCCAGAAGGGATAAGGCACTATATTAAAAAAAAGAAAAAAAACTTCTCTCCTTCCCCATTTTCTACCACAATACTTGCATGTGCTCTACCTGAAGTATGAAACAAAGCTTACTCTTTTGGACCTCAGTGCTGGGGACTAACCTTGAGGTCTTGTGCACACCAAGTAAGTGCTCTACCACTGCACTACATGATGATAATAAATTAAGAACCAGGTTCTTAATTTTTATATAGTCACTTCACCAAGTTCCAGCAGTTTTCCTTTCTAGCTCCAAGTCTCCTGGTCCCTCTATTTCCACTGTCACTCCCTGGTCTCAGCTTCCTGGAGCCTGCACAACACTCCCTCCCCTGTATCATCACCCTTTTCTTGCACAGTTGACCATGCCTAAATTACACCCCTGACCTAAGTCTAACTCTGCAGTTAGGGCACTCTGCAGTCCCTGTGAGTCTTTACTGACTCCATCTCCCACAGCCAGCACAGCCTGTGACACTGGTCCCTCTACTGTCCCCAGCACAAGCTGAAGAGCACAGCTCACTGCCTTTCCTATCAGCCTGCCCTGTATACAGAACTCTTACTGCAAGGTCTCCTCCCCGGGAAGCCTTTGCCAACCCCACTCTCTGCTCATCTGTCCTCCCTCTAAAATCCTAGAGGAACAGTTTTCAAATTCTGATGGAATTGTTGGCATTGCCTGAGAAACAGCTCCCAGAGTGGGAAGGAGCAAATACAGGGCTGGGCAGAGCTTACCAGGTTTCCTATGTGGGCTTGTGCTCACAAATACTCTGGGAGCCTTCATCTAAGGCAACCCTGACGCAAGCAGATCTGCGTCTTCTGGTGTACTGTGTATCTATTCTAAAGCCAGCCCTTGAGAAGAAAACCCACCATTAAAGTTTCTTTCATATCATATTCAGAACTACCATGATGGTATAAATTTCTGCTGGCTGAATGTATAGAGTAAGAGGTGTGGGCCGGCCAGATAGCTCAGCAGACAAAAGCACCTGCTTAGGCAGAGCACAGTGGTCAGGGTTGGATCCATACCATGCCGGCCCTGCCCCCAGGGCACGCTGAGATGGTGATTAAGACTGAGCATGGTGGCGCATGCCTGTAATTCCAGCACTAGGGAGGCTGAAAACAGGAGGATCACAAGTCTGATCTGTGTAGTGAGGACCCTCTACCAAATACATAAAAAATAATAATAAAAATAAAAAATAGGGCCAGCCAAATAGCTCAGCAGATTAAAGCGCCTGCAAGCAGGTGCAGGGGCTGAGAGTTCAATCCCCGGGCCTGCCATACCAGCCCCACCATCCCAGGCACACTGAGATGGCAACTGAGACTGGGCGTGGTGCACACCTGTAATCCCAGCTTTTGGGAGGTTGTAAATAGGCGGATCACTACAAGTCTGATCTAGTAGTGAGATCTTGAACCCTCTGTAGACCTTTCCCTAAAATACAAAAACAATAAATAAATAAAAAATAGAAGAGGAAAAACATTAAAATAAATAAATAAAATAATAGGTATAAGTAACAACTTTCTTTTTTACAAAGTAAAGCAAAGACCACAGCTGAACCCAGTGCCACCATCCCCAATTTACCAGTCGGATGAGCTGCCGGTCCAGCCATCGGAGCACATCGGGGCCCTCTTCTGACTCCGCCCGGAACACTCCGAGCCGTGCCATCAGGACCGCTGCAGCCTCCTGGTCAAACGCAGCCTCTATGAGCTGGAGCTGGCTCTGCACATCTGCCCAACTTAAACGCCACAGTTAGTGTGGTGTGACATTCGAGAGCCACCATGGCCACACATGCACAGACCTGCTTCCTCCTCCACTGATGAGGGCAGGACTCTGAGCTGCACTAGTGTAACTGGTAAGGGGTGAGCAGACCCCAATCGCACTCAGTCACCCTCATGCCATCTCAGAGGGCTGTGCGCTTGAAGGAGAATTTAGAGAAGCCCACTGTGTGCTGGAAATGTGGCAAAGCAAGACACCCAGAGATACAGATACATCCTTTCTCACTGTCATCTTACAAAACCCCCCGTATTTATAATCTCATAAAAGATAAAATGACCTTCCAGAATCATCTCTAAAGAAAAAAGCAATTAGCACACATTCCATGTCTTTCAGAGGCACAAACATAATACAAACAAACCTAAGCAACAGGAGACAGCCCAGGAATGGGTCCGCACAAACACACACAGCCATGAGATCCAGAGTACAGAAAGAGTCTACAAATCAGGGGTCAGGAGAAAAGAATAGATCTTACAAAGACATGCAAAGGCTAAGTTCATATGACCGGGACACAGCAAGCGGCAACTGCCTGGCAAAAGAGAAAACACAGCCCTAGGTGAGATGGGGCTCTGTAGTGGCGTGTTGAAGACTGTAATACCCATCATTAACAAAGCCGCAGGGCACCTGCTTCCCCCTGCTGGGGAGAGTACAAGTGAGCTTCTCAGGAGAGCGTTTTTGTGGTGCGCACAGACCGCTTTTCTGAAGTGGCTGGCAAGAGAATACCCATGTGTACAACAACCGAGATACATAAACACAGTGTCCCCGCAAGGCCAGGCTTGAAAATGTGCTCTCACAGAGGAGCACAAGTGCCAGCCAAACTCCGCAACCCTATATGAGCACTAAAGTAAATGAGACAAGGCTGGCAAACTTCAGCTATATGCAGACACAAATACAGGCAATATCCTTATAAGCTGAGAAGCTGCCGCACACATATGCAACAGACACGTGCAGTACACAACATCACAGAAATGCGACTGGGCAGTTGAACCAGTAACAGCCTTTACTCTGGGGAGGGTATGTGTGGAATCTCAGACACATTCGTCTCTGTACAGTGTGCATGGAGACGGGGTTGCCCGCCTTCCGCAATATACAACGTACAGATGCTCAACTCCCTTACAGAAAATGGGACAGCATTTTCTATAAAAAAGGATCTATACAATCGCTTCCATACACTTCAAACCTTCTCTAGATCACTAGCATTACCTAATATAGTCTAAATACTATGCAAATAGTTGCTACATTGTTGTGATAGGGAACAACATGGAGAAAATCTGAACATGTTCTTAGGGACACAATACTGTTTTTCCAAATATTTTCCATTGAAGGCTGGCTGAATCCTTGGACACGGAGCTCAGAGATGTGGGAGGTAACTGCTCTTACGTTCTACCTGAGTCTTTAACGAGGATATGTTTGAGTTGCTTATCTAATACATTAAAATAATGAAAAATAACTTTTACGGGTTACTTGGAATTGAACCCCAAGTACTCACTGAGCTATATCTTCAGTCCTTTTTATTTTTTTATTTTATTTTTTTTTAAATTTTATTTATTTATTTGTGTGTGTGTGTGTGTGTGTGTGTGTGTGGCCAGCTCAGCCCACCAGGGGGCGTGGCTGGCTGGCATGTGGTGCTGGGGGATTGAACCGTGGTCCCTGTGCTTTGCTAAGCTTATTCTAAGTAGGTGCTTTAGACCACTGAGCCATCTCACCAGCCCCTTATTTTTTATTTTGAGACAGCAATTTGCTAAGCTGCCGGGGCTGGGCTTGACTTTGTAATCCTCCTGCCTCTGCGCCCACACAGTGGTGGGATTACAGCCATAAGCTACCACCCTGGCTACTGAAAGTTAACTTTTAATTAACTATGTTCCTACTAAAAGCTGATTCCTCTGGGCAACAGCATTGCCTCCTTTTCTAATCTGATGAGCCTGGGAGGACTGGGGAGCACCAGTCAAAGGAATCAGAAAGACCAACAGGACGCTGTTAAAACATCTCTTCACAAAAACCTCAGGAAAGGGCTCAACAAAAATGAAGCAGGTGACTCACTTTCGGGCAATGGTGGTCACACGGATGCGCTTCTGAGTGCTGGAGTGCTGATACTGCGTGACAAACTGGATGGCACCTCTGCTTCCTTGGGGGATCGGGGCGTTGTGCTGCAGGGCGAGAAGCCACACACCTGTTATAGTCCTAGGCACAACTCAAACACAGAGACGGAGCCCAATGGGCTCTCATAAAACAGCGAACTGTGAGGCTGGGGAGATTTTTGTTGTGTTCTGAATGGTACTCATAGGCCTGTGCAGTTCATGCATATAACCATTGCCCCAAAATAAAAGCAAACCAGTACAACAAAAGAGAAGCCCAGGCACTGCTAAATTCCTGGGGTGGGGGATATAGCTCAGGGGTAGAGCATGTGTTCGTGTCCCACATACACAAAACCCTGGGTTTATCAGCAGCACTGAGGGAAAAAAACAAACCAGACTAAACTCCAATGAACAACCTGCATGTTGAAACAGGGATGAAATACACTTATAAACACAAATTGCTTTGAAGTACATAAAAAGTAAGACTGATCAACAGATACCCAACAAAGCACCACCCTAAAATGTCAGTTACAGAATTGAGCTGGTGGCTGTATGTGTGTTCACTGCAGAATTCTTTCAATTATTCCTATGCTTAACAGTCATAGCAGAGGAAGACTGACACACTCGGGAACTCGCTAACCCTGCGAGGGCTAGTAAAAGCGCAGAGCTCCTCATGACTTAGCAGGTCAACACCTGTCTGACTGTGACTAAACCCTGAAAGGATAAAAGATCAAGCCAGACCAGCATCAAGACTTGCATTTGTAGAATGCATGCGAGTAGAACCCAAAGTAGAATGCATTTGTAGAAAAAAAATGAGAACCCTGGTTTATAACAAATCAGAAAACAGGGACTCTATGACATAAAGACGTGCTGAGGAATGCAATTCACCTGATTGATGACTTCGAAGTAGATGCCAAGGGTAGATGTGGGGTCCAGGCTGCAGATCTTCCACTGACTCGTGCCTCCCACACCAAGCTCCTGGTGGCAAGGAGAGGAATTAAACATCAAAAATCAATCCTGTGCTCAACAGTGATGACAGCTATGATGAGTGGGCCAGGCCACTCAAAACACCTATGAGGTGAAAATGTAAACTTCAGTGCAAAGTCCACATACACGACTTTAAAATTAAGCTTTTTTATGGGCACTTGGAACAATATGGGGTGTGTAACCCATCTCACATTACACACACTGAAGTCAACAAAATCAAGTCAAGACTGGGCAAAAAGTAACAATAGGAGAAAGAATTATCTTAGACTGAAAGTTCATATACTTCTTTTATCATCATCAAGAAAAATGAGTTGCAGCACATTGGCTATAAGTATTCGTTTCTAACTCAATATTTATACATATAAGCCCTCAGTGAAACCACAGCAATATGAAAGCTACTTTTTATTTATTAGCTGAACGGCTCTCAATGATAAATGAGGCCCAGTGAAATGTGAATCTAAGTGTCAGCTCAAAGAAAATCCCCAGAATCCCCAACCGAGGCCACTAGACTCTGAAGCATCCATTCCAGCATCAGAGAAGCTGCGCGCACACACTGCGACACCTCATCAAGCTGAAGAATGCTGCACTTACAATGTGACAGGCAGCAGGACACAGTGATGCATGCCTGTAAACTCAGCACTCTGGGACACTGAGGCAGGAGGATTACAAGTTTGAGACCAGTCTGATCAATTTAGCAACTTAAGAGAGACCCTGTCTCAAAATAAAAATACAAATGACCTAAGTAAGACACAGTTCACTATGAAGTCCTTGGTTCAATCTCCAGTACTGGGAGAAAAAAAAAGTGCTTTTGCATTAGAGTGCCACTCTGAACCCACCCTGTTGCAGCCAGGTGGCACCACCTCAGAGCCCTTCTGGGCTGTGTGCACCTGGCCAAGAGTGGCCTCTCAGGAAGGTGACCAAGCCACAGGGTGGGGAAGTCCCTGAAGCCCCACAGCAGGGAGGGCACACTGTCCTGCCCATGCATCCTAAGCAGGACCGTGAGGCAGATGGGTGTGGGGCTCACCTTCCCTGTCCAGCCTTTCCCACAGGGAACAGGGATTCTCACTGCCAGATGGTGAAGGGTCACAACTGGGAAACACCAGCGAGTCCAGAAGCCTGCATCCCTCCCTCCCACGCCTCACAGATGCTGGCGTATGCACCATCCACTGCCCAACCAACCCACAGCAGTCTCTGCTGTCTGGCACTTGAGCGCTCGGAGCTGAAGCGCTCACTCCTGAAGGGCTCTGAAGTTTGCCGGCCTCATGAGGCTGGCACTGAACCACCAAGGGCCCTGGCACAGCGCGCCTATATGGGTGGCGGGGTTGAGACCTGGGATGGAGCCCCTCCACCCAGCTCTGCCCCTCCTCACGGCTCTCTGGCCTTCAGTTCCTTCCCTGAACCCTCACACACAGGGATGGACAGCTCAGTGCTCCTTTCTCATCCCAATCTGTCATGTGGCAACCCCCCACTCAAGGTGTCACTGTAGGACAGGGCCACGGGGTTTTCCTTACATTTTCTGACACACATGGTCCCTTCACATTCAGAGACACACAGGGACCAATGGCTCCCGCAACCTTCAGCTCCCGAGAGGTCTGAAACAGATCACGGCAGAGCAAAGGTTAAACAAGGCTGAGGAGGTGCTGACCAGGGTGGTGGCCACGTGTCCCTGGGCCACAGTGCTACTCCTGACACCAGCCCACCTCCAACCCTCATGGGGCCAAAAATGATGGGGTGGAGCCTGCAGAAACCAGCAACCCTAGACCTTTTGTCTGAACAGCCTTTCCACGCCTGTGTCCAGCAGGCTGCAGTCACCAGCAGTCTGAGCACGGTAGTCAGGACAATTCTCCAACTCCATGAACACTTGAAGTCTATCATACCTTTACTTCCAAAGTAGCACCAAATGCCATTCGGAAATCTCCATTAAAATCTTTGCTAAAAATTCTCTGGAAGGTCTGCTTGAAGAGAGAGGTGTTGAAAGAATCTCCCATCACCATGTGGCCTCTAGGTAAGAAGACAGACAGAGCAAGTGAGCAGCAGGACGACTGGAAGCTGGACACCCCCCCTCAGGGCAGCAATGTCCACAGGCGGGGCCTAGAGAGCCACCGGGTCCCCGGAGGGTGCAGCACTCATCGGTGATGGACCCATTCCTGACCTCTGCTGGCCCAGCTGCCAGCAGGCACGGGTCACCAGGGATAAGCCTTGGAAGGGTACGTGGGGTCCCGGGTCCCTTCCCATCCCTTCTGTCTCTACTTCCTGGTGGCCAGGAGGTGAGCAGCTCTACTCCATTGGCCCTGTCTGCCAGGAGTTTCTACCTTGGTGTGCGCCTAAAGGAATGGAGCCAGCCAACCATGACCAAAACCTCAGAGACAGAGCCAGGAATATGGAGGAATGCCCAGCTCAAACTCAACTGTCCTACTTCTGTCACCGAAGAATGTGCAGAGCTTCTTTACTGCCTACCAGCAAGCGAGCAGTGGACACCTCATAGCTGGGCATCTCTAATTGAAATCAAATCTGACTCCCCCTACCTCTTTTGCCTCTTTGGTATGGGAAAATAGCCAGGTCTGTGGGGAAAGCTTCTCAATTGAGTCCACTGGCTCAAAACTCCCAATCTTTGACTTCACAAGTACTCCAAGTCAGGAAGCCCGGAGGCCTGGCATGAGCTCAACAGTCCCTTGGGCACCTCCAACATTGCTAGCCCACCCAGCACTAACACCTCAGCAGCAAGTGACTAGGTTCCACCTCTTCCTCTCCTCAGTGGGAACCAGAGCTAAAATGCACACTTGAGGCCCTGCCTCAGCACTGTGTAGGTGCTTCTCAAACTGCTTCATGCTGAGTTGCTTGAGATCTTTAGCAAGGATCCCTGCATGAATTTCAATGATGTGTGTGGTGGCTAAATGCTGCTCCTTATTAGTCCCTGGAAGAACTTTTATAAATGTGGGTGCCCAGGCCAAACCACACTGCCTACTCACAGTGTGGGGTGGAGGCAGTGCAAGACTTAAAGCAAGAGCACCTCTGTAGTTTCTCAGGTGTTGGGCATGGTGGCACACGCCTGTACTTCTGCCATCCCTGAGGCTAAGGCAGGAGGATCCCTGCAAGTTAAAGGCCAAGCTGGGCTACATACCGAGTTCAAAGCCAGCCTGAACTATATAGCAGACCTTGTCTTTAAAAAGTTCCTCCACTAACTCTAACATGTAGCCAGCCTCAGATCATTGCTTGACATGAGCATTTCTCCCATTCTCTTGGGCACCCTAATATCTGCAGAGCTGTGTCCCAGAGTTTCTGACTCTAGACCTGGGTAAGACACAAGAAGTGCATTCTCAGTCAGCTCCTAGGCCTCTAAGGAAGCAGGTGACCAGGTGACACACACACTAAGGGCCCTCCTTGGCTTGCTGCCCTGCAAGTACCACATTGCGTTCCTGAGTCACTGAGTCTCTCGGTCAGTGGATCCTACATTCTGGCTAGGTGCTCAGTATTAGTTACAAAGTATGGGGGCTTGGCCAGATCAAGTTTTTAAAAGTTGCTGGGTGTGGTCATACACGCCTATAATCCTAGCACTTGGGAGGCTGAGGCAGGAGGATCATCATGAGTTTGAGGACAACCCAGTCTACACAGAGAGTTCAGGCCAAATTGAACTACACAGTGAAACTCTTCTAACTGCTTCAAGATTCAAAACCTATTATTCCTTTTTCAAAGGAAATGCCCCACCAAAGGTCTAATACCTCACTCTGGACTGCTTGGTCTGGTCTCCACTTTGGCCTAGACTCTAAAGCAGCAGCTAAGTTATCGTGGTCTGACCTGTGTGTAGTGAACCCTTGTCCTCCTGCTCATTCCCGCTCCTTCCTCCATGGGGCCGTACCCCCCAGCCACGGAGCTCTCTGGACGCTCACCCATTCCTATGGCTCCAGCACTCATTCTCCTTCCTTAAAATACCACTCTTTGGGGCTCAGGGCACAGCTCAGCAGTAGGACACCACCCACACGCATGAAGCCTGGATTCAGCACCCAGGACTGCAAACAGGAGACTCTTTTCCCTCCTCAACATACCCTGTAAGATTGGTACAACACTTCATCTCCAGAAGTCCAGTCTGGTCAAGGGCACAAGCATAAATATCAATGCAGTGACCATTAGAGGCGGTTCGATGAGCGAGTGTCTCATAGTGCTGTGAAGGGGAGGGACAGGAGAGGAGGGAAAGAAGATGAGGAGAGAACAGTCTCAGCTACAAGCCCCTCTGCACCTCAGCAGGGCAGCGGCCACTCTGCAGCCAGCACCGTACCATGGGGTGCTTTGGATACAGCCCAGACCCGCACCCACCTTGGTTGCCTTTTTCATGAATCGTGCATTGTCTTTCTCAATATCATGCCAGGAACGAATGGGAACCTTCAGCTCATCTCCAACCACCATGCCGGGCCCCTGCGTGGGGGGCCCGCCTGTGAACAGCATGATCCTGGCGCCTGTGTTTGGAAAAGTTCCCTGCAACAGTAAACAGCAAGGCATTAGATGGTAACAGCTCCGCTTCCAAGTACAGTTTCATCTTCCCTGGAGAAATACTCTGAAGACGACCCGTTTGACATTTTCCTGGGTGTGGGCACTGTGCCCAGGCCCTCTTTGGCTGTCAACACCAGCAATACTGCAGAATCGAGCTGGTGAGATGGCTCAGTGGTCTAAAGCACCTACTTAGAATAAGCTAAGCAAAGCACAGGGACCACAGTTCAATCCCCCAGCACCACATGCCAGCCAGCCCCGCTCCCTGGTGGGCTGAGCTGGCCACACACACACACACACACACACACACAAAATAAAATAAATAAAAATAAACAAATAAATTCTTTAAAAAAAAATACTGCAGAATCATACCAACAAGGGTACAGAAACACAGCACATATTCTCTCCCAATCTGAAGGCTTTATACACTTCATTAATTTACTGTGAGCACTTGTCGTCACTCAAATTCACTTTTCTTTCTCATTTTTCTTTTAATCATGAAAACTTTTGGTATTTCCAAAACATTGAGGAACCCCCTCACTGTGGAAAAGGACTAACATACTTTCTGATACACAGAACAGTGGGAAAGCCTAGGTGAAATCTTTTGAAAGATTTTCAGAGAGCCAACAGATCAGTTTCTAGGACCATGCTTCCATGGTTGACCATAAGTGCTGATTACCTCCAGCAAGCCGACAGCAATGGACAGTGCAACCCCCGTGGATCGCAGAGGCCTCTTCCCCTGAGTGACTGGCCATGGGTCCCTCTGCAGCTCCCCGAGGAGATCAGTGAGGGTCATGTCAATCTTGTGAACGGGCTGCAGAAAACTACACAATTTGGGGAGGACACAACAGTGGCTTGATGAAGTGCTGTGATTTGCAACTATCGCTAACACACAGTAAGTACTCTACAAGTTAATTATTCCGAGGAGAAAAAACAACTTTTCAAGTTACCTCTGACTATAGGCACAAAATAATTCAGGGCAATTTTGGGAAAATGTATTCATTTATTAATCATCTGACTGATAGAAGGGTCTCACCACTTAGTCCAGCCTGGCTCTGATCAGGGCTATGGTACCCAAGCTGGCCTTAAATTCAATCTTCCTGCCTCAGCAGGCTGAGCAACAGGATACAGGCATGTGTCATCACACCTGGGTGAGGAATATAATTTAATCTAATAATTGGCAATTTATACATCTAGCATAGGAAAAAATTCGAAAATGAATAGATAGGTTTAATTAATTTTAAGCAGCAAAGGAATCTTAAGGACAGGTCCAGGGGATTCAGTCCACAGAAGGTCTGTCTTCCTAGGCAGCTGGCATCACGCTAAAGGTTGTTTGTGCTTCTCCTTAGACTTACAAGTAATCCTGGCAGTAACACTGGTTTCTTACCAGAGCCAGAGGACATCCCCAGCATGACAGGTGACACAAGCTATCTTTTGCTTGATGTTAATTCAGCCTGGAGGAGACTCAGGTACTCAATGGTCTGAATGCTGTGTACCTGCTCGTAAGTTTGCTTGAGATTACCAACAAGGAATTTTCAGTTCTAGTTTTATAGAAGATAAAAGGATCAAAGAGACAACAGAGCTTGTCGTGGTGGCCTCCCAGCACTCAGGAGGATCAGGCAAGAGGACTGTTTCAAGTTCAAGGCCAGCCTGGACTACAAGGAGTGAGGCAAGGCCAGCCTGAACTACCTAGTGAGAGCTTGTCTCAAGAAGCAAAAAGAGGACAATGACAAGTCTGGTGTGGTCACATATGCCTGTAATCCAGCTCTCTGGGAGACTGGGAGAGGAGGACTAAAAGTTTTGAGTCCAGCCTGGGCAACAGAACCACTCAACAGGAATGTATCAAAATGAATTGTATGGGGGGCCCGGGGAGATGGTTCAGTAGAATAAGCACTTGCCTGGCAAGTACAGGGTCCTGAGTGAGTTCAATCCCGGGTACCGCAAAAAAAAGGAGGGGGGGAGAGGAGATTGCTCGGCGGTCTAAGCGCCTGCCAGGCAAGCACAAGGACCTGGGTTTGATTCCCAGCACCGCATGCCATGCTATCTCGTGCCAGCCCTAGAACCCTGGGCATACCATGCTAGCCACCGGAAACAGATGTGGTGGCACATGCCTATAATCCCCATGCTAGGAAGGCTGAGACAGGAGGATCACTACAAGTCCAAGATGCACAGTGAGACCCGGTACCAAATAAAGAAATAAATTTAAAAAAAAAAAAAAGAAAAGAAAAAAGAAAAAGAGCTGCAGATAAAGCTCACTGTGAAGGCCCTAAGTCACAAAAGCATTTGACAAAACACCAGACACCGACCAGGCCCAGCACTGCTCTTCCCTCTCCCTGGCTGCCCCCACACCCACCGCAGTCTGCCTAACACCAACCCCATCTCTCACCTGCTGGACACGAAAGGATGCGCCTGAGGCTGTGCAGGTCTTGCTTGCTGCATGGGCATTGCTGGCTTGGACAGGCCCAGCATGTCCTAAAACACAGAAGGAACCTCAGTTCCTGAACAGAAGAAGTTACCTGCTGGTTACATCATTAAGAAAAATCCTTGCACCTGCTTCTGTAGGAACAAGGTACAAACCTGTATTTGCTTGGCAGTTAAATCCTTGGTCCCGCGGAAGACGTAACTTTTGGAGATTCCTTCACAGCTCAGCTCGTGAACCTGCACCATCCTGCCAAAAGTGATGAGGCCCACTAGGGCCTCGGGAGGCAGGAGGCTCAGGGACATCTGCAGGGACTCTTTGAGGGCCTGGAGGTCATCTTCCTCCAGGCATGTGTCCACCACATAGAGGAAGATCAGCGGGGCTTGAGGACCTCGCTACAGGCAAAAGAGAAAGCATGATGATCAGTACACAGATGTTACACAGATCTGGCTATATTTTAAAGCAAATCACATACAAAACAGCAATCTTCATCTACACTTACTGTCAAGGGAAAAGGACATAAGGACTTCTGCACAAACCTCTGCTGAGCTCATTGGACTCAGATTCTACTAAAACACCCTAACCATCAAAACCAGAAGCTCTGAACGCTATGGGCTGCACTGTTCTAGGCCCTGGGACACATCAGTGACCAGAAAAGCACAGAGCCCTACCTGACTCAAGAAGCGAATTTTCTGGGATGGCGAGATTATGAGGACAGTGACCGTGGTGAATGTGGAGGGAGCAGGTTCATGTTACCAGAGAAGTCACAGCAGCCTCAGCAAGAGTCACGCTAGAGAAAAACGCTGGAGGTGGAGAGGAAGGGAGCAGTACGGATGCAGACTAGGAGGCCCAGCCCAAAAGAAAAAAGCAGACACCAAGGCCACTTGGTATGGAGGTGCCCACTGCACTGAGCAAGGCATCAGTGAAAACCAAGGTTGGAGCGGCCACTCAGCGCCAAGAGACTGGCTTTCGCTCTGAGTAGGAAGGGGCACCATCGCCACACTGAAGGTTTCTGAACAGGGAAGTGACATATGTTTTTCTTTTAGTATTTTAAATTTTTTTTTTAATGTATTTGGTAGAGGGTCTCACTATGCAACTCACACTCATAGTGATCCTCCTGCTTTCAGTCTTCCCAACACTAGGATTACAGGCGTGCACCACCACACCCAGACTCTTTAATTTTTATTATATAATAAATCCATTTAATTTTAGGATGAAAACACAGAAAATGCAGGTGCAGATAAGCAAAAAATATGAGGAACAGGAAAAAAAGTTAGTGGAACTCTGAACCCAGGACCTTGTGTTTGCCAGACAGGAACTGTGACCTCTAACTATATCCCCGGCTCACATATATTTTTAAAGTTAAAGTGAACAATAAAACACAAAGCTGGGTGAGGTGGCATACACCCGTTATCCCAGCACTGGGGAAGAGGAGGCCAGACTGGACTACACAGAGAGACCCTGCCTCTAGAAACCAAACAAACAAACAAAGAATAAAACACGAATAGCAGAACTGGGCATGGGGCTCCATGGTAGAGTGCTTACCTGGCACACACAAGGCCCTGGGTTCAGTCCCCAGTATGCAAAAACAAAGTAATAAAACACAAACAGTAATGTTAAAATTAAGGAGAGCACTTAGCAGACCCGTAAAGTAATAGCAAGGGTTGTGGCTGACCCAGGACAGGCACCTCCTGGGTGTGGAAAGAGAAAGGGTGGATTCCAAGTAAATTTTAAATACTGAGACAATGGGATACTCTACTAGATTAGATTTGGGGTGTGAAAGGGAAAGGTCCAAAACAAGGCTAAGTCTTTTAAACTCAACTAAATATGGAGTTGGATCAACTAAGATAATCAGTTCTGCCTTTTTATAGCCTTCTGTCAAGACCTGAAAACACTGCCCAACTTTTACACCCTGCCCTAACCTCACATGTAAGACCCGCTGCCCGTGCAGCTTTTGGCCCCTGGAGGGAAAGGACGCAGACTTGAACAGATTTCAAGAGAAAATCAATTTTTAACACTATTTCGTAAACACAAGATGGTAAAGTTACCTGTACCACGTACTCAATTGTAGAGAACTGGGGCATGAGCTCGGCGGGCTGGTTCACCTCGGATATGCCCGCGTACGCAGGAGGAAACTGCAAAGAGAACACAGAATGATGTGCAGTGCAGGCAGAAGGCACTCGGGTCCCATCTGCTATTTCCACTGAGGAAACGGCCACAACACGACCAGTGCCGACTCTGAACACACTCATTAGCGTTTAAGTGCTGCCCTGCAGCTTAAAGGCTGAGATTCACCTGCCTCACCAATAGTCTGTATAGCAGATGAAAGCCTTTAGTTAGGGTTATTATTTTGGTGGTTATCAAGAAAATTACTATGTTCAGTGCAGAAAAACTGGCCAAGTTCAGGAAAAGAAAGCAGAGAGAAAAAAATCCTCTCCCTTACAGGCAGCTACTGTAGTCATCTTGGCCCATTTCCCTCTCGATTTTTTCTCCTTAAGTTGGGATCACTCTCTACACAAAATTTTGGGAATGCTTTTTGTACTTCACATAATGGCACAGACATTTTCTCTTTTAGGAAATAAAAAACTGGAAGCATTTCAAATTCATAGTTTGTGGGCTGACTTTAATCCTAATACTCCTTGGTTTTATGTTCAGGACAAAAGCTGAGGTGTGTCTCTCCAAGTTGACAGGGATCCTCGCAGGCCAATAAGCCTCAAGTGAATAAACCCAAGTCTTGCCCAGCAGAAGACAGGCAGATACAGGATGGCAGGGCTAGCCGGAAAGAGACAACTGGCATCAAGCAGGACCCTGGGAAGGGTCTCAGCAGGGCCAGCAAAATAGCTGAAACCCGCACCCCATGAGTGTTTCCAGAGGGCAGGCTGCATCCATGGCTAGCAGAAGGCATGAGGGACAGACAGGTGAACTCCAGCCTCTGGCCCTTCCCAACCACCGTCAAGGCCCTGCTCACCCACCCAGGGTACCAACTGCAGGGACAGCAGAATCCCCAATTCCTCCAGGGCCACCTCTCATCTGCTAGCTCATTGAGAGGTTCCTCAGGCTGTGTGCCCACGACATGCACATCCCGAGCCACATCTCTCAGTGGGCAGATGATGGGCTCAGGTAACACCAGCACCACGCACTCACACAGATTCTGTACACTACTCCATCCAGTCACTTGCACTTTGAACTCAAAAGTTTAATTCTCACAGCAGCCCAGACAAGCACATGCAACCCTGTTAGCTTAATTTTCAAGATGAGGAAATTGACATACAAGACAGTGACTCATCCAAGTTTACACTGGAAGTAAAGAAAAAATCTGACTCAGTGGCATAAGCACCTGCCTGGCAAGTTCAAGGCCCCAAGTTTGATGCCCCATGCCGCAAATAATAATAATAATAATAATAATAATAATAATCTGAGAACCAAACCCAAGCACTTCGGGCATGGTAGTCCTGGCTTTTAACCAGCATGCATGCATGCTTTAAAATTTTATGATAAATTATATTAAACATAGACATCAATTCTGAATGTAGTAAGATACAGGGCTTTTTTTTCTTGTGGGGGGCAGCTGTTTTATTTTGCTTTTGAGACAGTCTCACTAAGCAGTTCAGGCTGGCCTTGAACCCCTAGTGATCCTTCTGCCCCAGCCTCCCAAATGCTGGGATTATAAGCATGCATTACTACACCCAACAATTTTTTATTTTTAATTTAATCTGTTAGTGGAGCTGGAGATAGAAAACAGGGTCTCCTGTTGGTAGGCAAATGGTCTAAAACTGAGCTACAGCTCCAGCCTTTTTATTTTTAGTTTCTGATATAGGATGTTTTTAAATTGTCCAGGATGGCTTCCAACTCAGGATCCTTCCTGCCTCAGCCTCCCAAGTAGTTGGGATTATGGGAGAGCTGTGCCTGGCTGCTGGAAGTTTCTTAAAACTCAGAAATGAGTACTGGATTCTGTCACATGCTAGAACACTTCTCATGGTAAACATTAGGCACCTCCCATTTCCAGCTGCTAAGAAAAAGAAAATGTTTGATAGATCTTTCCCTCTGTCTCTCTCTTTCATGTTACTATAGTGAATTACAATGATTTTGAACTGTTCTGGCAAGTTCTGTCATGGCCTCATAGGGTTTTAATTTTTCTCTGTAAAATAGGAGAAAATGACAATAGTCCCTCCACACATACTTATGAAGTCAGAATGTACTGATGTATGGGAAGAATCTGGCCCAGAAACAGGGCACATGGTTGAATTCAGTTCACCTGCTCCTCCTCTCTCTCTCTCCAGGCAGGGCCTCTCTTTATTCCTCCTCGCCTCCCTGTGAGGAGTGTGGGTGGTACCTTAGGCAACACCCGACACTCCACAAAGACCTGAATCTAAGTACAAAAGAATGGCTGACAGTCACACCTGCCCCTCCAAACTACAGCGCTTCTTGGCCTCCTTGTTTTGTTTTTGAGACAAGGACTAGCTATGTACAAAAGGTTGGCCCTGAAATTCTACCTTGGCCTCCCAAGTGCTCAGATTATGCGTGCACCACCACACCCTCCTAGGTGCAAACCTCTGTATTCTTTTGCACCCCAGTTCTGGAGATTGAATTTAGGGATACTCTACCACTGAGTTATACACCCAGCTTTTTAAAATTTTGAGACAGGGGCTCATTAAGTCCGAGTCACCTGAGATGATTTCAAACTTGTCATCCTCCTACCTCAGCCTCCTAGGTTGCTGAGATTACAGACATGTGCCACCACGCTTGGCTATATATATTTCTGAATCTCTCACAGAAACTTTACTTTTTACCCATGCAGAGGCCGAAATGTAGGCTCTCATTCATGCAAAGCATGTGCTTTCCCACTAAGCTACCTGCCCAGCCCCTCTTGGAGATAAATCCTGAACAGAACCTTCTAGTTTCTGAACCTGTAGGAAGTCATCAACTATGTACTGTGCACCACTGTCTTTATGTGCTATATCTGACAAGGACACTAATTATGATCAAACACATGAATACATAATACATCCTATTAACAGCTTAAGAGCTGCTAGAACAGTATATATCTTCGTGTGATTTTCTCTTAACAGCTGTACTTAGGGGACAAGTTTTGTTTTTTTGTTTTTTTCCTGTGGCCAGTTCAGCCCACCCTGGAGGCAGGGCTGGTGTGGCACGTGGTGCCGGGGATCAAACCTCGGTCCCTATGCTTTGCCTAAGCAGGCACTTTAGACCACTGAGCCATCTCACCAGCCCATTCAGTATGATTCATAGACCATAAAATTCACCCATTTTAAGTCACGATTTTTAGTACATGGATTGCATGATCATCACTACAATCCAGTCTGAGACATTCCTAGCAGAGACACAGTTAGTTATAAAGAAAGGCCGTGGCCTGGGGTATCCCTTAGTGATAGGGCATGTCCAAAGGCCCAGATTGGAGTCACAGCAACAAAACGAGAAGTCACTTTTTTTTTTTTTTTTTTTTTGTGGAACCAGGGATTGAACTCAGGCCCTTACGCTTGCCAGGGAAGTGCTTATTCTACTGAGCCATCTCCTTGACCCGAGAAGTCACTTTTTCATGTGAGGTTCTTTGAGTTTTTAAATTCTGTAAATCACAACTAAGCTCAGCATTGACACTTATACTTGGATCCTAAAGTTAGATCAGAAAAGGAAAATTGCCATCTACCACCCAATTAGAATACCCTACAGTCAAGTGCAATATGAACCAGGACCTATTTTCTTCACTTCCACAGATAATGCTCAAGAAGAGAATTTCACAGGCCTTCATGACAAATAGCTAGGCCCTCGACAATGAAGCCATGTGACAAAAAAATCCCAAGTGTTCCGTGTGCAGTACTGTGCTTACCAAAGCAAGCCCTTGGAGTCAGCAGAAACTGCCGCCCACCAGCATGGGCAGAGTTACATTCACAGCTAAACATTTTCACAGTACAACAAACATAAACATATTACCTATTTTTAAACATAATTCACATACCTGGTTTCTTTGGAAACAGAAATTACAAGCCCAAAGTTTTGCTTGATAATCAACCTGACTGTAAAAAAGAAAAATTCCATCAGAAGGTAGCATTCTTACTTTTAAAGCATTCAAACGCAAATGAATGAAGCTCAACTAACAGATATGTGTTTGTATATGTGTGCGTAGACAAAAGATTGCGAAGCTTCACTGCGAGGAGAGAGCTAACTGATTAAGTACACCAACAACTTCCAGCAAAGGCTGCAGCAAAGAATGAGTCAAACTTTTCTTTCTTTAGCTTTAGTTTTTTGAGATAAGGTCTCACTATGTAGTTCAGGCTGGTCTTGAATTTGCTACATTTATGCAGCCCAGGATGGCCTTAAACTCATACTTTCCTCCTGCTTCAGCCTTCTAAGTGCTGGGGTTATAGGCATGCTCCACCAGGCCTGGCTTATTTTTCTCTTTTCTAATTCCCTAGACAATTTTTAAATGTCTTGACTACTAATATATGAATAAACTAAAAAATGTTACCTCGTTTTGACACTCTCCACTTATTTCAAAATTATTTCATCCTGGGGCCAGGAACTTAGCTCAGCAGTACAATGCCTGCCTGGCAAGCCAGAGGTCATAAATCCAGGGGGGTTGAGGGGCTGTGATTATTTCAACCTGGTGTGGCGGTACACTCCTGCAGTCCTAGCTACTCAGGAGGCTGAGACAGGAGGACTACTGGAGCCTACAAGTTCAAGATGACACTAAGCAACACAGAGAGACTCTCATCTAAAAAAACAATTAATTTAAAAAATACCCATACATATGAAAAAACTACAGGTCACTATGTCAAGTACCAAAAAATTAGCTGGGAATGGTGGCACATACCTCTAATCCCAGCACTCAGGAGGCTGAGGCAGGAGGATTGTTGCAAGTTCGAGACCAGCCTGGGCTATAAGGTGAGCTTAAGGCTAGCCTGAGCTGCATAGCAAAACCCTGTCTCAAAAAAAAAAGGACCAATGGGGCTGGAGAGATGGCTCAGTGGTCTAAAGCACCTACTTGAAACAAGCTTGGCAAAGTACAGGGACCGCTGTTCAACCCTCCAGCACCACATGCCAGCCAGCCCCGCCCCCTGGTGGGCTGAGCTGGCCACACACACACACACACAATAAATAAAAA